AATTTCAGACATGAGATTCCTAATTCTAGGCTGTGTATACACAGCTGAAAACACCCAGAAAGTGCTGTTTCCGGCCATCTGGGGGCTTTTAGATTCCAAAAATTTTCTGGTGCGCTCCGCACCAACCAATGGTGGCGCTCCGCTTAGATAGTCCTGCCGGCACTAAAACCATCCTGGGCAGAACCCTGCATCATAATTCATGTATTAATTTTTATTTAAGAGGGTCCGTATTTGATAGGCTTCACTTTAGGGATCTTCTTCCTCATCGACATGTACATTTACACGTGAAAATGAATGCAGAAATCTGTACATTCTGGTAAAAATAACATGGCTGATGAGTGTCTGTGTGAGTCGAGTGTGTATTGTACGTGTACATGTACATTCTGAGTAGGAGTGAGGACTCAGCTTTTCCCAACCTTGGACTAAACCCTTCCGAAAACTTTTTCGGAAGACATGCATCTGACTCACAGTAGAGCGTGATCTGGATCGGTGCAGACTGCCCCAAACCACACATTTGGTGTACTGTAGCTGTCAGTCAACACTGATGACTTTTGATTTAATAGACCCTGTCCGATTCCTGGAACAGCAGCTCTCTATCCAGGGGCAAGGGTTTGTTGACCCTGTGTCCATAGCAGAGGATGGGGCCCCTTGATAGGAAGAGGCAGCTAGCCCCCTGTCTTTGGCCTTGATTTTATCTCGCCTTTATTATGTTTACTGAGAATAATACTATTTTGGAAAGTGAGTTCAATTGAAATGCATGCGTTCTCTTGAACTCGGAAAAAGATAAAGAAGGCCATGTTGGAAGAACTTTTCTAGTACATGTACCGGTGCTGGGCTCTGCTGAACTCTCTCCCTCTCATTTGATGGGAAAACTCAAGGGGTTACACATAATGGTCCTTATCTTTGCTGCATTTTGGGTCTGGCATTCGGTTAGCATCTGCGGTTAGCATCTGCGTCCCTTGCCTGTCATAGTAAGCACCCAGGGGCTTTAATGGAGATATCCTTCTTTACACCCAGTTGGGTGGGACTTGATCAGCAGTGTAACTTGATCTCTTCCTGTTTGAGAAAAAGGGCCATGTGTCCTGAGGATGGAGAAAATGGGCCACAAAGTCACGAAGAGCTTTGCGTGGAAAAGATATACCTGTACTTTGGAGTTGCTGAACTGGCCATCTCTAATGGTTCAAGGAGTGGTTGTGTTCATTTTACTCTGTGCTTGGAACAGAGCCTTGGTCGGGTCGACATCAAGCTTTTTTGCCCAGGAGCTAAACTCAGATACTGGCCTTTCAAATTTGAAAGGGTTTCGGGAGCTGTTTCACTGAACCAGGGAGCTATGTTAGGTAAAGTCATATTAGGCCAAAAAATAATAGTTCTGCTTCCAATTACATGCCTCTCAAAAAATAGGTCAGTTTGCCGAAATTTTTTTTGGGGGGGTCAACATTTCTGTGCTGATTGAATGGCATGAATGGAGACGAAAGCTTCAAAAAATTGTCTCAATAAGTAATAAAACCCATATTAATCCTTGTAACAATTTCTACAGTAGACAATTCACAACAATTAAGGACAATTCACACAATGCCTGCCAGGTAATCACGACGGCAAACTGGCCAACAATGTCCGTGTATCACTTGGTAAGTGTGTGTGATGCATCTAAATAGGCAAGCGATAAACCTTGTGCCACAGCAGGAAATTTTATGGAAACACGCTTGCTTCAAGCACGAGCAAAACCACCTCAAATTAAACTCCTGAACACAGAGAATACATGTATACAGGCAAGAGACCAAGTTTTGTGAATTAATTAACTTGCAGAAATCCTCTTGCAACATCAATGTTTTTTCAACCTGCAACTATAGGGTTGTGTATGACTGATAAAGCGTAATCGACTGGGACATATACATGTAGTTGGCACATTTCCATTACGCGTTCTTTGCCATGGGCAAAGGAATCAGCACAGCATTGCTTTAATGCATTGAGCTTTGCGCATGGGTTTTCACCACTGCGACAGCAAAATGCGAAGGGAGCTCGTGAAAATAACAGAAGTTTCTTTTCAAAAATTGCAAATGTAAGTAAGAAAATATACCAAAACAGGCGGTTTAAAGTAAGAAAAGGTTGTTGAAAGGTATTTTGTGAAGACAGGAAAGACGTCATGATTTAATTTATTTAATTTGTGTTTCTAACTTGCCAATAAAAATTTTAGGGTTGCGCCGAAAAAGTAGAGTCAGTCAGAAAAATGAGACCTTGACACTGGGCTTCCAGTTATTGACACTACCCCAACATGGTAAATATTTTGATGATCTCTTTGGAATAAAGTGTCATCACGTCAAAGAGAATCAATAGCAACCTGGCACTAAGTTTGGCACCTGACCTCCCACTTTATTATTACAGGTTACCAGGTGCTAATCATGGTTTGTGGGACGCAAAAGCACCAGTGTGCCCGCTTAATGTCGACCCCTGATTGGTTTTATTTCTTGTTTTATGGTGTTTCTGACATGTTTTGCTGGGAGCATTTCTGTGACAGATATATCAAAGGTTCGATGCCAGCATTTTGGGGATACACGTATGTGTATGCACGTGTACGGTACCCTTTTTTAAGCAAGTGCAGAACCAGGGAGTGTTCTTGGTACTTCGTACATTCTCATGCCAGTGCCAGTAAATGTTGAATATGGGTCATCTGCAGCTGTGGACAAAAAAGGAAACTTGAGGTGCCATTAGAAAGGGAGTATTGCTCTCAGATAAATACCGCTACCCACACAGTACCAGTATGTGTGTGCTGTGTGGCTTTGCCCAAGAAAGCTTTGTAACATGTTTTATACATCGCGCAGGGGACCTGGTGATCTCCCAGGTACCAGCATTGGCTTATCGGGATATGGTCACCCCCACATTCTGTTATGGTTTCCTTGAAGGAAGTCTGTATTGCTGTCAACATAATTCAGTAAACTACATGTAGGTTTTTCAATGTTTTTTCTTATGCTTGATGATGTACAGTCTAAGGCAGGCATATTTTTGTTTAATTTCTCATGTGCATAAACCTCCATACTGATTTAAGACTTAAGCATGTAAATTTTAAATGCAGTCCAATGTGCACGTACATGTACATGAACTAATTAGAGGCCTATGTAAACTTACCAGTACATTGTGATAAACCCACCCATCCTCCCCCCCCACCTGCATTATTCCCAATCTTAATATCCCCTGAGGATCAGCAAGAAAGCTGCTGACCCACAGAGCAGGAAGATTCTCTGGGATGTTGACCTCATGCTGGGGCCCTCCCCCTGGGGCCCCTCCTCAGGCTGCCAACAGCTGTTTTAATGCCCTGTTCTGCAGTGTAATCAGATGCGCCATTGTCTAGATATGCATGCTGGTTTCCCAGAAGGCTGGCTTGCTTGCTCATTGGTGCAGTGGCAGAAGTTGCCATCTTGGCTCCTAGGGCTTGTTGATACAATTTTCCTCTGGGCTGTATCATCCTTGATACAGCCCAGGGGAAAATTGTATTAACAAGGCGATTCGTGCCTTCTTGGAATGAATTTGCTGCACGGTTCACACATCGTTTTTGTTTTTGAGAGGGATTTCCCATCAGTGTCCAGTAGCAACAGTTTAAAATTTTAGCACGTTATTCCTTAAGGCTGCCCATGCAGATACATGTAATTCATATTTTATTGATTGATTTGTTTATTTATTTCTGATGTTTATCCAGGGTAAGCTTTTCTCCATAAGGTGGTCTCCCATAGGGCCCTGACATATACATTAAAGAAATTTAAAAATGAATTTAAAAAATGGAAATTAGATATAACTTAAAATTATATCTAAAGAAACAAAATAACATTTAAACTGTTGACGAGCTGATTTTAGAGAATGTTTAAAAATGCCAAGTGATGGTGGCGATTTCACAGATTGGTCCAAATTATTCCACACTGATATCAGTGTGAGCAAAAGGCTGTGTCTTAGACATTCAGAATGAAACTTTGGAACAAATAGTGAACTTATGGCAGGCCGCGTACTATAATTATGGATCTGGTTAGTTGGAGTTAAACCGTCCTTTAAATAAGCTAGTGCCAAATTATGCAGTTATTATTATGGTAGCCTCTGCCCTTAGATGGATTTTGTTCTACAAAGACTGCTTTAAAAGCAACGAGTGGTTTTTGTCAAGAAGCAGGGAAAAACCTCTGTTGTTGAAACTCTTTTCTTGGACGAGAAAAGTTGCAAGAACTGGTTCATGTACATACAGCTTCTTGTACATATGTAGTAGGGTTATCTGACATGTGGTTTGAGGGAGAAAACTCTTGTCATTTCTTGTACATGTACATGTCACAGTAGTGCACCTCCAACAGTTTGCAACGCATTGACCAATCACAGAGCGCGAAATCTGTGGACCCTTTCCACATGCTCATTGAGTCAACAGATATCGCGCACTGTGATTGGTCAATGCATTGTAAACTCTTGGAGGTGCACTTTTGTGATATGCCCACATTGGGAGTGTATCGTATTGTGGCTTGTACATGTACTAGTGTGTCACTTGAATTATCTGACTTAAGAATGAGACTTTTTTTATACAATTTCTATGAACTCTTGAAAGTTGTAATGCCTTCTGTATTGGTACCAGAAGGTTCATTTCTTCCCCTGCGGGTCATTTCTGAATTAAATCTCACAGACTTTGTGTATTTCTTGTTTTCTCTCAGGGTTTTGGTTGGTCTGGTTCCTGATAGTCTTCATCATTGGATTCTGTGTCTGGCAGCGGAAGAGGTTCCATCCATGGAGAGGGAATTCCAGCCATCGCACATGCTCAATTCAGGACTTTCTCAGGGGTTTCAATTTTGACAATATCACGCCAGGTACGCAGCAAAAGACTTTTGAATTGCAGTTGATTGTATCCGCTCATTACATCACCTAAAATGAGCAGATTTGAGGCTGTGTGTAGAAGTTGTGGCTCTGGCGAAAAGTACCAAATGGCTTTGGAAGCCACTGGCTTGTGCTATACAGCTTTTTCTCATGGATGCATGTGTTTTTGTCAGCCATAGCCACAACATTTATGTACAGGTAGAGGCATCCAAAGTTCACAGCTGAGGTCGATATTTGTATCAACTTTATTAAGGACAAGCTACAATACGAACTGTAAAATTTGAAGATAATTGTGATGTTTGAGTCGGCAAAGGAATTAAACTTTTTGATGGCCTTAACCCTAACAAAATCAATGTTAGTGCAAAGTGGTTGCATGTTGCTGCAGTCAGCGGAAGTGTCTAAGTAAACTCTAAATGCATATGGCTGGAGGTGTGGCGTTCATTTAGTAGAGTGCTACACAAAATCGAAAGGCCTTTCATTTCAGGTGTGGTTGATTCTATTGAATTTAGCAGAGTTGCAGCATTAAATCCAGCCTAGAGGGAGGCTTTGATGCCTCTAGAATTATCTTTTTTTTATCAGCCAAATGTCTTACTCCATGAAGCTCTTTGCAAAGTAAGTCTTTTTGGAGTTTTGGAACTCTCTTATCCCACTGTTTTTTTTCTGTAAATTATTTCAAATACTTCTTGTAACAAGAACTGTCCGCTGTCTTAATTTTTACAGTGCCGCCATGCAAGCTGCCCTCATACTCAGAGATCGGGGACACAGTGGGCTACGATACGCCGCCCCCACCCTACACATACTACTACATCCAGGCGGCCACCACAGGCTTTGGCAACACCAACAACGCAGACTGCGACACGTGCGGAAACAGCAGCGGCCTGTCGGCGCTGACGCCAAGGCTGACTGAAGTGGCAATAGAAACTGCTGGGTAGGTTTTGCAGTGTGGCTCAGGTTGTCTGTCATTCTTCAGTTGTCTGTAGTCATTTTGTCTGGGTTAATCCCTTCCAGAGTAGCCATTTCTGACTAGTTCCATGCATTTATCACGTAGAATTTCAACTTCCTTGGCATTTGAGTTGCTGCAGCCCTCCTAAGGGAAACCGATGGCACATTCTTCGTTGAGCACCTTTCAAAAGGGTTAAAGGTTCCATGTGAAAGTACAAGTGGATGAGCCATGTACTTGTACCTTCTCCATTCGTGCAAAGTCCTGTGAAACTGCCCTCTGCCCCCCAATAGATTTTGACGGCTCAGGTGACATTAAGGTTTTGACAGGGATAAAGTGTTTTCAGAGACCTGGGTGAATATTCCAAGAGGAAAACTGTGGTTCGTGGTACAAGTTTGATATGTCTGTCTGTCTCTTTTCCCGTGTAATTTTCCCACCAGTCACACAAAGCATTTCAACGCTAACCTGTGCAGATCGCCCAGTTGTTATGCTATTAAAGTCAGTTTTCTTATTTACCAAAAACAAATCATATCAAAGTGATATCGTGATAATCAGGCTGCACAAAATATCGTAAGGCTGACAAACATTAAGAAGGATATCGGGGTCCGAAGTCCGACAATTTTATTTGTTCAATTTTTGTGGGAGAGAAAAAAAATTACCGCACATGTGTCATCAAGATCCCATTGTATTAAAATCACAATTAGTGTATAATTCATAAACAAGGTATGTTTAGAAGTGGGGCGTTAGTCTGCTCTCGTGTTTACTCTAAGAACGTACTGTACTTGTGTACATATTAAGATACTATTCTGGTCAGTAAATCATAAAATTCTTTCAGGATCAAAGATGGAGACACACAGAACACCTGCCAAGTTGTGGGAAAGAAATATGTAAATTGTTGTGATGGTTAGTGTGACTGCATGCATTCCGAGAAAAATAATCTCAACCGAACACAAAGACTAAACTGATGAGGTCCATTTTAACTATGTAGCAACAAACAAAGCAAAAAGCAAGGCTAGGCGTTTTGAGTTTTGTAAAGTTGTTGTTAACATAAGAATAATTTGATAACATTGTTAACATAATATAAATTGCAATCATTGAAAAAATTCTGTGTGATTTTTTTTTTTTCGCCATAATAGGGTTGATGGAGGGGAGAGCCGACTGGAGACACCAGATTCAAGTGAGGCTCCACCAAGCTATGCGCAAATCATGGAGACATCTCGCGAAAGAGAAATGCGTGTGCGTGCCGTTGCCGAGGCACTCACACAGACTCTAACACCCTCTCGCACCCCTGCTGCAACCCCTAGTGCCACGCCAGCCGTGTCGACGCCTGTGACCCCAGCAATAGCAACTCCAAGGCCAACGCCTGCTGCCACTCCCGCTGCCACGCCCAGACCAACGCCTGTTGCCACACCCGCTGTGACGCCAGCCGTATCGAGATCACCTAAGTCCTTCTCACCGGCCGGCAGTCCAAAGCGTCTGTCCCCTGCCACCAGCCCTCTGAGGCAGTGCAACGAACACGGGGGAGGCAGCAGGAGTGGCACAGTCACGCCCACACCAGCAACCACCCCCGTAGCCACGCCTTCACATCTCGCATCCTCAGGGAACTCATCGGCCTCTGACAGGGCAGTGACATCGACCATTGTGGACTTGCAGATCAGTGACAAAGGCTCGCTGAACTATGTCACCAGGTTGACGTGAGGCAAACTCAGTCGTAGGGGAGCAGATGTCGATAGCAGACGGTGCGGTTATTTCCTAACACTGAGATGCATGCAAGATATTGCCAGTTTGGTGCCTGTTAATGTGTATGTGCAGATGCTTGTAGTCTGTGGCGATCTTAAAGGTCAGCCGATTACAAAGCTGCTAGTCCTCCACAGAGGAATTGTTTTGTTGGTGATGGTGTTCATGCTTTTTAACGGAAACAGTTTACCCGCATATGTATCACCGAAATGTTACCCTTTCTTTTTTGCAAAACGGGAGTCCATTTAGTAATCAGAATAGCAATGCAAGGTGAGGCAGCTGTACAGTGTAGTTCTATTTATTTGTAGATTTTTCTTCCCAAAGATAATATTTTGTGTTCACATGTGTCTGTGTTACCGGAACAAAAAGGATACGGCATTTTTGTTTACAAATTTGAGTCTTCAGCAACTAGCGTTATTGAGTCGAACGTGTGTTTGAGGGTTTTTTTCCCCCATACGTCTCTAATTACAAATGAATTTTGGTAATCACCTCTTAACAGTCTTCAATCCCTTACCCATTGGTAGGATTGAGAACTGCTTGGGTCAAATACAACTCAATCCGAGTTACTTGTTAAAGCATGCTTTTGTCAGAGTGGTCAGAATTATCTAATGCAATTGATTTTGTCACTTAATACATGTACTGCAGGTGTTATGCTGCTGTGCAGGAAATGCAATGTTACATTGAATTTGTTATTACCCAGTTTTGGTGGGGAGTGTGTTGTTTTATCCACTTTCCAACCTAAACTGAAATGGGATGTTTTGGCCAGTGCCTGAGATTGATCAGTGCATTATGAGTAGGCGTACCATACGTGTACCTCACAAGCACCTGTTTTGTGTTTTGTTTTCTTCCGCTTCGAGTTAAAAACTTTTTTGTTTTAGATTTCTCTGTCGTTTTTTGGTTTGTTTTTCCAAGCAAGCACGTTTCCGTACTAAAAATAATGCACATTTACAAAGGTACATGTAGTTCTTGTAACGGCAGTGTTGACAAATGAAAAATGACTTCAAAGTTGTATTTGTGATTCGGCTGACTCCGAAATATTCTTGAAATTTCTTCAAGGTTGTAATATCTGTTGTGAAGGTGTCTTTATAGGTCACTAGTCATCCGTGCAATGTACGCGACATTGTTAAAAGCATAAAAAAGCATATTTTCTACTTTTTATCATGATCTTCCTTATGGGAAAAATTGTGCCTAACACAGCTTTCACTGTCTTTGCTTTGTGTAAACACTTGTTTCACCCACCTATGTACTGTACTATAGTACAAGCAAATGTGAACAGAAAGAATAATATTGCGTTTTTGCCTGCATGTGAGTTGTTAAAAAGTGTTTGCAAGGGCTCATAATTGGACAGTGAACAATTCATCTGCAACACAGACGTAAAGCCAGCTGTCAGGAATGACACCGGTGTACATATTGAAGAAAATGACCAGAATGATTTCATTTATTTCGGAATTTGTCATAAGATAGATTTAGATTTGAAACAAAACTACATTTAACACTAAAATCTCAGAGCTCCTGCATGACAAACAGTTGCATATACATGTACAGGTAAGCAGTAGAGACTAGTGTAGACTTTCATATTACCTTTAATGTTTGAGATTCTTTGCAGAGTTTTTAAAGGACATATGTAACATCTGTAGTCTTTCAGTATGCAGAGTTTAAAGTACATGTACATTTACACCTTTTAGTTGTTGAAACATGTTCCAATCTTTGTCCCCCATTTTGCCTCTGCGATTTGTTACAAGTGTACAGAAAAGTTTGCTTGCTTCTTTTACATGTAGATCTGTGTATTAAGTTTGCATTCTAAATGCTTCAGCAATCCTTCATTGTTATTTATTAGTTTGATGCATTCTTTAGAACAGGTGTCTATTTATTGGACACGTTTAAGTCCTTGTCAAATTTAGTGTTGTAACATTTTCTCACTTTTTTGGCATTTTGAAAACACCCTCGGAAGTGTTCTAGGAGTAATTGTTGGTGTCCGCACATTTGGATTTGAAGGAATGAAATTGGAACACTCCTGTTTATTAGTTCCAGGTGTTCAGTGTGAGTTTGGTATGGATGAAAATCACTCATTGGACATACCATTAATGGCGAGGGAAGTTGCTGGCGGAAAAATTCCTGCCTGCTTATGCTATGACCCGCGAACAGTATCGTGGGCATTTGTACAATTGCATCAGTGGTTTTTTTGGGGTCATTGGTGCTATTTTGATATTATGTGTGTTGCACCAACCGGTTGGTCACACACATCAGGTTTTTTTTTCTCTTTTGCCTCGGTGGTTTTAAGGTGTAGAAGACAACAATTGTTGTTACAACTTTTTTGACTATTTTTGACAGTTGTAAATTGTTTAAAAGGAAATATTTTGCCTTTTTTCCCAAACGGGGAGCGTGCATCACTGTTAACTCTTGAAATATTGTCAGCTGCAGTGAACAAGGAGATTCTTTCCATGAATTCTGCAGGAGTCACAAGCTTCAGGTCTTTTGAATTTTCCATAATTCACCTGGTCAGTTTCTTCAAGATAAAACAGTCGGAAGTGATGCATGTTTTTGAAGAATTGTTTGCTTCACATTGGAGCTGAGAGTTACATTTTGAAAAGCTCTGGCAACAGCTGTTGACTTCAACGTGAAAGTCGGCTTTTATGGTTGATTGTATACCCATCTCTGCTTTAGTGTTACCTCCCTGGTGCGTTTACCAGTTTCAAGGTGCCCTGGCTGTCAGATCTAAGAAAAGCCTTCAGCCGCACAGGGAAACAGTGTACGTGGAATTTATGGCAGCCTATCTTATCAAGCCTTCAGATGTTGTTTAAATATTCAGGGTTGATGTTCAGTTGGTTGCTGAGGTTAAAAAAAAGAGTGTTTATTTGTGAAGGGTTTTACCTCTTTGATTTAATGTTTGAACCCTGACCAAGGGTCAAGATCACCATAAATATCTAAGAAAGTTGAATTTCGTCGGACTAAATCTAGTTTGTATATAGTAATAAAATACTTTGTAAATAAAGTAAAGTACAGTATTCCCCCTGTATAATGTCATGCCAAAGAAGTATACATTAATACAAAGAAAAAAGTATTTCTTGTGCTGACTTTGTGAGTTTGTTTTGTTGGTTTTGACCGGGTATTGTGTGGGTATTCAGGGATTGTTTGCTGTTAAAATCGGAATTGTGATAGAAATCATTTCATTTAACCTCGGAATTATAGAGTTTTTCCTTTAACTTCAGCGACCAAATTTCTAAGCGCTCACAGGAAAGTGGAAACCTCTTTTCTATTGTTTCGGCTCGGGCAGTAAGCTAGCTACATGTCCCTGGTGGAAGAAACACGCAAGCAGGCATATGTATTTCGTTTGGGAAAATGATATTTTAACTTCCCGTCCAGAGATACTCCCATGAGGACGTTTGTCCGTGATGGTGTTCCAAGTGAAACGTGACTGATCGTTCCGGCGGGCAGTCAAAGCACGGGTGATTGCGTGCTTGGAACCTGGTGGAAGTTCCTGCTTGTCCAAAGCCCCTTGCGTAATTGCGTATGGTCTTTTGCAGGAACAAAACTGTCTGCGACGATTTAGGCCCTATTATCGCGCACTGTGGCTCTTCACACACACCATGCCCCTCGCCCTTTTCATTGCTCCCGAGTCCAGGTTGTACGTATACCGTTGTATTATTGTAGGTAAGTGATACGCTCGTGCCGGCTAAGCGATTTCCTGTCAAATTGCATTATCTGCGGCTTTTGTGCTGTTTTTGTTTGTCTTGTTTCGTCATCCTTCCCCGTGGCCCTTTGTTAGTGTTGCCGCCTTTTTAAAAGCCCAAAGTCCACATCCCGTGGGGAAAAGGGGGGACAGATCGAAGGCCGCAACAGGTGATTTTTTTTCATTTGCCTGACGTCCCTGTAGAAATCTGACAAATTTGAGCTGACACTTCATATGCAAGTTAGCTCACTGAAAACATCTTTGAGAAAGGATCGTTCATTGGTTCATTGCTGCGCACGTACACTACAATGAGTCAACGGAAAAGACTTTACGATAGCAAAATATCCAGCCTGTTCACAAATACAGCATTGAGGTTTGAACAGCAGAAAGGCACATTTTTACAACACTGCAACTATAACATCTGGTGCAATTATGCCCTTCGTTTTGTCTAGTAGGTATCCCATCGTGAAGGCTGAAATTGTCAAATGAAGAGCTTTCTTTCACCCAGGCTTCATGCCATCTCTCACCAGCTTACAACCCGACAAAACTTTGATAATTGAAAGATTTGATTTTAGCTTTGCCCTCGCCCCCCACCACCCCGCGCCTTTTTCCCTCGCTAAACTGTCCCTAGGTCCCACTGTGACCCCACCAATCGGACGGACCGTGACTATGGCGCGGCTCATCATAAATTGGCTTGAATGACGTACATGTGTATGTTTTAGATGATTTGGCCGTACGGTCTGGGTCGTGCACTTCATGTATGAAGCCCCACAATCTGAATTTGTACGGATGTATGAAAAGTTTAGTGCAGCATCTATGGCTGAGGTGAAACACGATTGGCTCAGCTGAAGCAAGAATAGGATGGGTTTGTTAGTTGTCATTGCCATAGCTGACCATGCTCAGGCTACAACTTTCACCTTGATTTGTCATGGCAGTGACTTTCCTGTGGCTGTAGGTCCAAAACTGTCCACTAATACTGTATAGACATCATGGGCATTCCCAACTTCGGTTGAAGAGAAAGCTTTATGAGAAAAAGGACATGGACGACTAAACACTATCATGAAATTGTACTGAAAATAAATTAAGAAAAGGAACAACAGTCACTGACGGATTGTAAGAAGAATATTTTGGATGGCAGGCAGGGCAGGGACCGGGAGATGAGCGTAACAATTCTGCATTAGTGGGGCATCAAAGCGACAGCAAACTGGAGCCACCCAAGTCGTAACATGCAAAAAGTGCCTGTAAACTAAAATTAAAACTTTAAAAACTGGTCACAGCCCAGTTGGCACTTAAGTCATATTTTAATTCTGCTAGATAGCCAAAGTTTGTGCATGCCCGACTACAGGTCGAGAAAGTTGGGCATGGGCAAATGAAGTTGGCCCTTCATCTCGCAGTTTTGCCAAGCATCGGTTGACATGATGACACGAAGCGCAGCAACATCATTCACTGCAAAAACCAGCTAGCCAGCCGCAACATAACACAATGGCGCCCTCTACAATATTTTCGCTTTAGAAAAAGATGGCTGCCTCCACGATCGACGAAGTGGATTGTCATTATATGCCGTAGGCCAGGGTAATGTTTGAATTTGTGTTGGGCTCAATCGGCTGATCTGCACATTTGTCCTGCCACTCTTCACGCAATCCTCCACTTTATTTTCTTTTGTTTAAACAATCTTCCATAACTGTGAATTTACAAGGAAAGGCGATTGGCTAATGTCATGTTAATGCCAATTGCGCGCGGCTTTGGCATGTATGGTGGAGTTATGGATAATGATTGATGCCATGGTTAGGCCTGTATCATAGAGCTCCTTTTTTATAGCTCCATAGTTATATCGACATGATCGACATGGTCATCTGGTCATCATACTTCATAGACCTGCATCTAGGGTGTGTGTAAAATCATATTGAAATTGGAAGATTTGGAACTGTTACAGTGTTAGGGGGAAGAGTTTCATTTAAGGATGCCAGTACAGTGACTTAACCATCAGAAAGCAAAAACATGTCCAGAAAAGTACAATTTAGGAGGGAAAATACCAAGTCGTTACTGACAAGTGACATGACTGAGAAAACACTTTCAAGCCAGTCCCTTGGGCTTGTGCACAGGGTGTAAAGTGGCGTCCGTATATGCAACTCTTTCCTTGTCGGGGTTAATATAATAATCATAAAGCCAATGCAGTTTACCAATCACGCAGGTCTAAAGTTCAGGCGATCATGCAGATCAACCAATTGCACCTTGTGTGGACACTCATGGAGGAATGTTTGTGTCGATTCAGTTCTTTACTTGACCCTATCTCCGTAGGGTGTGTGTAAAATTATATTGTAATTGGAGGATTTTCTAATCAGAAAAAAGTGTCAGTTCAAATGACCAATATGAAGTTAGTTACTTACATTTATTCCATCCATGGCCGTTTGACAGTAACTAGTCTGATATTCAATGTTGAATATTTAAGTAACAATTTGACATTCTGCGTGTGATCCGGATGCACCCCCCTCCCACCAGCTAGTATTCTGGTTGCAACAGAAGCGATGGAGTGCAAAACTTAAAAAACAAGCTTCACCACAATGCACATCAATTCAAATCAAATTAATTTCACTTTATTTCCACATGCGACAAAATGTTGGATATGTAGTGCAAAGCAGAAGAAAGTGTATAAATAATACATACAGTATGTGGAGGGATCTCATAAAAAGCAAAGCTTGCTGAGAATGGGAACCCTATTTACAGATTTCAGCAAGTTTCATGAGTGAGAGATTTTAAGAAATCATTAATGATAACAATGCCTTTTACATGTACAATGTCTAAACAGAAATATTGATTCATGAATACGTGGCTTAATCAAGAATAGAAGGTAGATACAAGGTTTTCATTAAATTTAAGACTACGAAATCGAGATCAATTGGGAAATTCCAGCGAGAGGAAATGCATACATCAAAGTTCTAACTCGGATTGTGACTTACAAGGAAAGCTACATTGCTTCTTGAAGGTTGACAAGTAGCTTATTTACATTATTTATTTACATTAGTGGCCAAATCTTTTGTTGAAAAAACTTCAAATTCATTGGGTTAAATACTGGCACTTTAACCTTCATAATACATGTTGTTGAACCTCTGTGAAAAATTTTAGTATCATAAAATTCCGTCCAAAATTAAAAAACGGTGACGTCTGGAACGTTGTGCACTTGAAAAAAATCTCAGAAAATCTCACATAAACATTTAAGAAATTCTTAAGATGATAAATTGTAATAGATTAAAATTACTGGTAGCTCCACTAACACACCTAACCATAAGTATGTTAGAAATTACTTTCATATTCTTGGGCACATTTCAAACAAGTTCATTTTTGCATTTACATTAAGCCAGAGTAAAATTTCATCAGTGGGTGAGTAAAACTGAGAATTTTGAATCAGAATATTGGGATTTTGATGAAATTCCATTTATAACGAAATCTGAGGTAAAAAAAAATATTGCTCTGGCAAGGCACCAGAGGCAAAAAATTGAAGTGCACCATGTTGGGGCCCGGGGCTGCTCCACGTTAGGGTACATCAACAATATCTGATGTTTTCATCAAAACTTTTTCAGTCAATCAAAATGATGTACATGTACATCAAGACCATGCCCCGGGATAAACTTCTTTTCAAAGTGTTTCTGTCCTCCTTAGCAACCCCTGCCTCTATTTCAAGCAGCGTAATGCAGTATTCCATGGACACGGCTTTGACTAAACTCTTGTTGTTGGAATTCTTCACTTGCAAACCACAGTAGGAAAGTGAATGCATCACACCAAACTTTTCTCTAATTGAAATAAAATACCCAAACCCCATTCCCAGCCTCAAGCTTACATTGAGCTGATCTCATGGGGTTTTGGGGGTCAAACAAGCCCTGTAAGTGACATTTTTTATACCAACATTATTATTGTTTTGTTGCATTCCATTGTTTCTACTACAACCAGAATGCCAGCATAGGGCTTTGTTAGGGGTGTGCATCCTGAGCACTTGACGAATGTCAAACTGTTGCTTATGCAGCACTGAATATCAAAAGGTTCCTTGTTCAACATTGAATGTCGAACAAGGAATAAGTAACTTCACACTGCCGTTCAAATGGCTTACGCCGTGTACATGTGTGGTACACCTGTCCTCTTAGACCTTGCCTATTTAAAATGCGCTTGAACCATTTTTCAAAAAGAGAACACTTGACACCCTGTGCACAAACCCTATGAGACTGGTCTGAAAAGTTCATAGATCCTTTTCACAGGATTTCAAGTGATGTCCTGATATGGAACTCTTTCGAAATTTTTTTTAGTTGAAAAAAAACATAAAAAAGCTTGGCCTTTGGATTCCGTAGCCTTTGTTTGTTTGATAAGTTAGGCCATGTGTTCTTTCTTTTATGGTCCCATGATACCAGCAACCTTTGTGACCTTTAATCATGAAACAAGAGTTGCCTGTACCAGGATATTTTGCTAAGTGATAAATCATGGACAACACGGAAGGGGAAGATGAAACTCATAAAAGTAGCTGCCAGTAGGCCTAGGCCTCACAGTCTGAACCATGAGCTAATCTGTGAGTATTTGGCTGAGTTACTCAAGCTACATGTTTATATGCAACTACAAGTTTTGCAAATGTGTCATCGGTATCTTACTCGATATCTTGCTCATTAAGAACTTCAGCTTTGAGGCAGAGAATAGATCTGCTCTGTGTTGAAAGATCATCTCAAGAAGTGCTCTTGCACACAATGGGTGTGTGAAATGCTGATGTTTAGCATATCGGTGCACTTGGGGTGTCAGGTGGCGCAAAACCTTTGAAGCTCTTTTACTGTGTGTGATGAGCCTTGCATGAATCAAACAGTAAATTTAACAATTTACTAATCCCAATTCTGCTTTTTTTAAATATCAGATGTCTATTGAAGTCTAATTGATGAATGGCTGAGGTGACACAGCAGTAGGGGTGCGGTTTGTTTGAGGCACCCAACGGATACTGTGACAGAGAGCTCGTCTGTTCAGCAAAGGGCTTTGGAGTGGAGATTTGCACTTACGATACATTCAGACTCTCCATTTATTGGCGTTCTGACCAGGAAAATAACACTGCTATAGAGAGAGAAAAATGCATGTGCTTCTGGTCTAACCAATCTGTGACTTGGACTGACCACTGTGCCACAGGTTTATTTTTGGTAGGGAATGATCCTCAACCATGAAACTCCGACCGCTCTCTTCATCAACTGTCGGCTGTCTGCCCTGTCAGACTTCAAATTAGCGTAGGTTTTGGATGTACACTGCCAATGCTTGCTGATCTTGAGCAACAGTTTATCATCTTGCCACGACTCTTGGGACCATTTCTCAAGTCCTTCAGCAGGATTAATGCTTTTTTGAAATGTTGATAGCACGTGGAATGAGTAATTTCCAGGTTTTAATCCATGCAATTCAAGACTCACTATGTTGACAGAGAGCACACAGTTGTCAGTGGTAATTGTTCAGTGACTGAATTTGACTGTCTTACTTTTGGCTCTGAATTGACATGCATGTGCTTGGCTAACACTGGTTGACCAGAAATGGGTGTGACGTTAAGTGCCTGAGAAAAAGTCAGCTGACCTGCAGAGGAAGACCTGTGTTTGAAGTGTCATTGATACAGAGACATTTGTAAAGACTTACCATGGCGGTGAATAAGAAATCCAAAGATAGTGGCGCCAGCTGCATGAACATTAACAGCATCTCCCAACAAACGTCCATTAGTAAATGGGTGTGGAACCGTCCCATCGCCCACCCAGCCTCCGTGTGCACCGCGTCAGCCGTCGGCGTTCATTTGCGGGCCAACGTGGGGTCTTGTCAGCGCCGACTGCTCAACGAGATCTCCTGCTGTCTGTATGGCCGGGTGGCACCATCGGGCTTCTCGGATTTTTCCAAGCAGAACGGCCACGAGGCAATCTTCAACCTGGAGTTCTCCCCCCATGGGTATGAGCAAAGAGCAGTCCTCTCTCTGACATCGTAAATGGTGGAATTATGTTGGTTTGCAAGAATATGCAAATTAAAAGAATTTAGCTTGTTGTGACAAACTTCCCACAAACTAAATTGCTTCAGTGGACTTCACATTATACTATTGAACAACTCGGAGCAAGAACGTAGCTAGCATTTGAAACTTGAGTTTCTAAAGTTGCCTCGAAGTTGAATCGATAATTAAGATGTCCAAGCTGCATAATTGTTATGATTTTAACCCTTTTATGTATTTTTACATTGAAATAGGGTCCCGAAATAGCTTTCAGGTTGTCCAAATTACACCCAGACACCCCTTCGAGTAAACTGTGCACTTGAGTCATTTAAGGATGCATAAATTCTAGTGCATAGGTTTCAAAGTGCCGACAATCCTTTTGAGCTTTGTAGAACGTTACATTTAATTCAGGAGCTCTGCTTTATTGAAGTATGTAACATGTGACTCAGAAGTGGAACCATCAGTGGTAACCAATTTCTCCCTACTGTTTGCAGTGATATTCTTGTGGCAGCATGTGAGGAGAATAGCATGTTGCTATTTGATCCGTTGACCACCAAGCATATAACAGCAGTCCGAAACGCTCACTCAGACTGTGTCAACTGCATCAGGTGCGTGTAGGTCAATTCCAATGCGTGCTTTCCAGCGTTTGTAAATGGGAAACATAGACACTTTAATACCTGTCAGAAGCAGAAAGAGCCATTCATTTAGATAAATGAGCATCATCACACCCGGTTGTTGACTATTTGTCTGTGACAAGCGTATATTATTTCATTGCCTCCAGATGACAATGAGCCAGTTTCTTGATTTTTCAACTTCTTGTTTGTCTTTCAAATAAATCTGACTAGATGGGTATTGGTGAATCCACACTTTTTCTAACAACTTCAAGAAATTAGTGTCAATTTTCCAAAACAACTGAGTTGTGCTTTGCCAAGAAATTTCTTCATGTTTCCAATGTGTCTTCCTAAACCAAAAGTTGGAGAAGCTATCCAGAGAGCATTGTCATGCAAAAAGTTTGCAAAGCCAACTGCAGTCAAATTTTCCATATCTCAGACAGCAAACTGCGAACGATTATTCAGTGTCTTTTATTAATCAATGTGTAGATTTCTGGACAGCAGAACGTTTGCATCAGGGTCTGACGACACCACCATTGCATTGTGGGATATCCGCAACCTGAAGCAGAAGGTGCGGTGCCTGCATGGACATAGCAACTGGGTCAAGAGCATCGAGTACTGCCAGCGGACGCGACGGCTGGTCACCTCGGCGTTTGACGGCAACGTGGTCTCCTGGGACATCAACAGGTGAGGGAACAGGCAAAGCTCAGGGCCCAGTGGACCTATATGCACTAATGCATTTATGCTTTCCTACATATGAATGCGTGATCTGTGCGACCGGATTTTCCAATTGGCACAGTAGGCACTGTACTCAGGACCCATGAAAAATGATCGGGCAACAAACAATGGAGGATCTCTGAACGTCCCGTAGGCATTACCCCAAAACACAAGCATCAACATTCACTTGCAAAGTTTAAGTCGTGAACTGTCTCCGAATATTCGATTTGGGGAAAGTGTCACATAGGCTTGTTCGTCAGTTCATCGGAACTCCAGCTTAGCATCAACATGAAATGCAACATTCCACTACAGCATTGTTACTTGTCCCAAAAGCAGAAGGCCCACGGAACACACTGCCAACTAGGACCCATGAGACATTTAATCTGGCCCTGGTCATCCTCATGTAGCTCCCACAAGAAATGTACATGTCAACACAGGGCAGTCATCATTACATGGGCCTAGTGCATGGCACAGAAATTTGCTCAACTCAGAAAATACTCGTTTAGCAAAGGCTACTCGTCACCAAAAAGTTGTGCATCGTATGTTTCCATTTTCAGGGGACTTTTGCACATCCATTTTGTACTTAGCAGCTCTGTGAAATTGACTCGTTGCAGTGGATGCTGTTTTATTGTTAAAAAGGGGTCCTACTTTTAAAATTTAAACTTGTTTTCATTTGATGAAATTCAAGAGGCAAAAAACTGACATAATAGTGAAACACGTAACAAGGAAAATTTTCTTTGTGCTATAAGAAGAAAATTGCATTAAATTGCTATTAGGAATGCAGATCTATGATCTTGAGAGTTTTGTTTTTGGCCAGGTGCTTTCCTGGCCGTTATGCACTTGAAATTTGGCCAACCCATTTTGTTTCCCCTAGCTATGAGGAGAAGGGCACACCACACGAAAAAGTCTTTTACATCGAGTCGCTGATGCGGACACGCCTCACACCCGACTGCACCAAGCTGGTCATGTCGACAGCTGGGGGGTTCTACATCCTCATCCACGATCTCGACCTCTCCACCCTGAACTCCGACCTGGCTGGCATTAACTTCACCCGCCACATCCAGCTGGACAGTCTGGGGGAGGAGGTGGAGGGAACGCCCGCCTGGGTGTGCCGCCGGGCTGGCCAGAGTCCAACGAGGCGGGGCCGGAATCGGATGGAGCTGGTGGCCGACTTCCCAGAGGGCAGCAAGGCATCGTGCATCTCGTCCCTCGTGGTGCATCCTCAGGGGTGGGCCATGATATCCAGATATACCACTAGAGATGACGACGCTGAGGTGAGAATGATATTGTGTCCGGGGGCATGAATTGGGCGGGGGAGAATGGCCCAAAACTGCTCAGCATTCATCAGGAAATAAATACAGCGTTTTATATTGTGATACGATGTAATCTTAGAGCTAATGCTAATGCGACAGAAGTGAGAAAGCATTATGATGTCATTTTCTTTTTGTTATTCATCCTCACCTGCCTCAAAGCTGGTTCCTACTTGGTACAAACTCAAAATTGAATAGTCAGATCAAATTTTCATGCTGCAAATTACATTTCAGCTCAAGTGAATTTCACTGAAAATGTTTTGCCAAAAGTATAAACCAGTCTTTCTGCTGAAAATGCCAATTTTCTAAGCAATATTAGGATAAGATTCAGGGTAGCCTTGGGCTCAGTTGGCGCTTTCAGTTTCCTTTATAGAAAACAGTAAAAAGGTACTCATCAAACAAGATGGGTAGAAATGGACAATTCCATTGCAATAGAAGGACACTTTTTCATCAAAAGTGGCTGTTGGTATACTTCGACGAGTGAAATGGTAAAAGAACCACTGATGATGTACCACTTCTAGCACTAACTTTAAGTTGCACTTTTAAATTTCTTAAAAATTCGCTAATGAGGTTTCCTCTGAATGATGCTCTATAAGTGAAAGTGTGTTATTCCATTGCCATACAGATATTTATGGTAGGGTTCACAAAACTAAGTAGCCTGGACTGAAATGAGATAAGTACATGTACAGGCACCTTTCACTGGACACTTACCGGTCCAGATGCCGTAAGCCTACTACCGCCATACCAAAATTAACTGAAGATGAGTTTGGCAAGAGCACAGTAGTGAGATGGAAGTTGGTCGCGACGACAAACTTAACTACACATGCAATATAATCTCTCTGTTTATGTTGAGCACAGGAGTATAGCATGGCATTTAGAACAGTGCCATGCCACTCCTTGTCAGAATGGTGATAGTGTGGCAGATCCTGTCAAGCCAAAGAGATTTGCCAAGCCAAATGATGCTGGATGCCATAGCAGTAATGTGTCCAGTGTTTGAAGTATCACATTATTTGCATTTGACATGGTGAGTAGCATGTTGTCAAGATTGGTTTTCAACAATATAAGGCTTAACTGGCATCCTGACGTTTTCTTGTAACAGTGGACGTGCGTTCATGATCTTCAAGACCCTGTGGACATACAATCTGAGGGTGAGACAACGGGGTCCTCCACCCAGCCAGCCAAGCGGCTCATGTACTACACCAGGGAGCCCACGGATGGCCGGGGCTATATCAAGGAGCTGAGCGTCAGCCCCGACGGCCGCCTCATCTGCTCCAGCTACGGCTTCGGCATCCGCCTGCTGGCCTTCGATGACCACTCCAGCGAGCTGTGCGACATCCAACCCCAGGCCGTGCGTGAGCTGCGGCAGGTCAAGTTCCTGGTGCGGCACAAGAGCACGGTGCTGACCTCGCGATTTTCACCCACCCACTGCTTACTGGTGTCCGGGAGCATGTGCGGGAGGGTGGCATTCTATCAGCCCAAACTGTGAACCTCTTCAGTGCCTGTGATGACCATCGATAAAAAAACTCAAACTGTGTACATTTTATAGAGGTATTTATAAATGTTTTCTATCCGCCAGGCTAAAACTGTCTCCACACTACCTGTAGCTGTTTTGTTCCATTTGGAACATCCCTTTGGAATTTTGAGAATGTAGCTTGTCTCCAACAGGAAGGCGGTCTCCTTCAATCATTATTGGAGAGTGGAATAGACTATATAGTCAATAAGGGCAGGCTTTTGCAGACTTTACACATTGGCATAAATTAACATATCCAACATTTTTATTGAGTAAGTTCTGCCAGCAAGTTCATAAAGCATTTTACTTATGCACACTTGGTGAATCTTGCAACTTGTGTGACAAAAGTTTGCAAAGCTAAGCACAGTCAATCTTGGCAGTCATTGATAAGTGAGCAACTTTGCTGGCTAATACAATCAGTGTAACATCCATCATCCCACAACTTGTCCAGGTTGATTGCCCAAAGTCAGAACTTTCCTGTCAAGGAGAATGACCAAATGAAATGATGCCAAAGTAAGATTATTTTGAGACTTGCCAACCGACTAAAACAAAGCTTTTTCAAAATAGCAAGCAGAGGTACTTGTAAGTCAGTGACTGTTTGGTGCCTGGCAAGTCACAAAAGGTGTGACTGTCCCCATCCTTATTGTCCAAAATATTTCAAACATCAGGCAGCTTTGCCAAGCTTTGTGAAGATATATTGCACAGCTGTGCAATATATTTGCTGCACAAATCCAATTTCTGAGCATTTACTGTTTCCAATGGGATCAGCAAGTTTACAGAAATTCCGGGAGGGGGACTCAACCTGCTTCCTTTGTGTAGGGACCATCAACTGTAGAATTGTCAGCACTTCTAGCAAATTCAGCGCACCATTTTTCCACCTACACCGATTGGGTATTCCTCTAATAGTCAATTATGTAATCCACTGGTATGACCAAAGTACAATAGTTCTTGCACCAAGTGCAGTGCCGTAGTTTGGTTTTCTTCATTGTGTAGTTCTGGGCCCAATTTTAAGGCACTAACTCAGCACATGATTTTACACTAACAGAGACTCTGTATATTTCATGGAGACTGTAAGCAGTAAGCATGACAGAAGGCACGCTTACCTCGGAGGAAAAATTGACTTAATGCAGTGACAAAACAGTGGAAATCTCCACTTGCAACGCAACCATAAGTACAACCACGCTGAGCGCAGTGCTCAGTGCAGTGCTCAGCGTGGTTGTGCTTATGGAAAATTGCTTACGGTTCGCAAAATTTTCTGCAATAGTAAGCATGGCTTTTTCTGCTGACTGTTAAGCGGTGGTATGACATTTTGCCCTGGTCAGACCACTGTAGATTGAGGGATATATTTATAAGTGACCTTGCAGAGAATGCAAGGCCGAGCAGATTTAAAATTATACCAGTGGAAAAGCCAGGAACTGTCAGAGACATTATCTGTACAGTCTAGGTATTTTGACAGTATAGACCTTTATGATATGGAAAGTATTGTAAATCGAGTCCATCAGAAGGACTTTCACAAGACCAGTCATGAGTAACAGGTTGAACAATGACAAAGGGATGCTTTTGTGACAGTTCACTTGCATTGTGACTTAGCTTCAGAGCGGATGACAGGTGATGGACTTCAGCCTGCGATGGACCCGACCACAATGTGAGCTGGCTGTCTTTATGACCAACTGACTGGCATCTACTCTCTGTGATAAAATCAACTAGGAGCTGTTGGTCAGTTAACAGCCTCTTTTCAGACCCACAGGCTTTGCTCAATTGCGGGTGATCACATTTATAGGACCTTCGCTTACGGTGCTTGGGCAAAAAAGAAATGTGTAGACTTAGTTCCTGAAGCAGGTATGTATCAAGGTGTGGGGTCGGTGGCGGGGTTCAAACAGGATTTTTTTTACCAACGTTCCCATTTTTTCAAGCAACCCACAGAAAGGTGGTACTGGTTTCAAAAAAAATATTTACACATCTTCATGGAAGACACCCCCCCCCACTGGATACATACTGCCCTGGAAAGCCTAGACCTAGTTTGGTTGGCTACTGGCTGTGTTGTATGAGTGACAGATTGCCTCTTCTGCAAATAGCTGAACTGATTGAGAAAACACTGCCCTTGATCAGAACATTTCTATCCTCACAAGGCTTCTGGAACTAGGAAAATTAAAATTTCTACTTCTTTAAAATGATATAAAAGATAAGATATAATGACTTTTTGAGGGATGCCACACAAGAATTTGGTATTTGATACACTTTGAAAACTTCTCTAGAGGAACACCGTCAAATTATTGACCTCACTAAGTGCAGATGTATGTGTAGCCATTTTGCCCATCTGCATGTATTTTATTGTCCAAATTATGTAGCCTTATTTTATATTCCTTACATGCACCACTTTTATCGTGGCCATCCATTTCTACATGTTTTTAACCGATTTCTCACCAGTTGAATTGGACCTTTGGCTGGGGTGAATTTTGCAGCCATAAACCTTTCACTTGGTCGCCGTTGGAACGTTCAGCAACTTGTGCTTTTTTAACAGGTGTGGTGTTTGGTTCTGTTCTCAAGTTTGAAGTCAGAAACATTTTTGTTTTGTAAGTGTCTTAACACACCCCTCATTTTTCAGACAACCATTGTATATTTCTTGGTTACTGCTTATGTAGAGCGTAAGAGAGGACTTGGCACATCAATGCTAGCAGAATCATTTTTTTAAGGGCAAAGTCTGTTCCAGATACATACGCAGCCAGGTGACATGCATAAGTTCATCGCTTCACCTGGAAACACTGGTATAAAAATGACAATAGCATACCATTTCAAACTTTGTCTAAGAAGTTACAATATTCACTTTATATTATGAGTTCTTCTCACATTGTATCACTAGGAAAACTGCAGTATTTGTTGCTTCACCCTGTGAAGTTAGTCTTGTCTGGCACAGTTTGTTGTCACCCTTTTCCCAGAGCTGGAATTTTTTGTCAGAGTCACTTGGCTGCACCTGCAGATAATACATACATGTAGAGAAGCTAGTGACTGTTGAATGCAGCCATGTTCCGTAGACATGCGTACTGTGCTTGCCGTAGCCAGTTCATAGCCAATTTTTAGACAGCTATAAAGTCAATCTTGTGTCATCAGTGACAGGCCAACAGTCTGGTCACAAGTAACAAGTGATGAACTTTGGCAAAGGAAAGCTTTTGTCAATCTCCCGTTTGACCTGTGTGACTCAAGCCTGGATGATTTGCAGCGGCAAGTTACTGAATTAGTGTGACTGACTTGAATTGACCTGATTTCAACTCTGTTGTTTTCTTAACAATGGGAATGTGCAACCATACACATACATGTACAATGCAAAGCCATCATGTGCTTAGTTGATGGAATATTCAAGTGTTTGATTTGATGATGAAGAGTAACATGCGGTTTATCAGTTAACAATTGTCGAAACTGCTTTCATGTGAGACATGCTTTTGTTCATAACCCAAGGGATACTAATTAGATGCTGAGATTGGAAAATTTCATCAGGTTGTGCAAGTGTTGACAAACTTTCTTCAAATCCTCAGTGGATGGAACAATAATGTGGCTCAACACTTCTGCGTGCGACATTGCATGTGCATTTTGTAGGTGTACATGTACATTGTCTAAGGTACAAGTTCAGGTGCAGTACGCACAGTGCCTAGGGCCTATGCAACATTGAGGGGTCTACAAACAGTTTGAGGGCTTTCAGCATACCACAGTGCGCCACAAAGACCCTATTCCTTCACTTACAACCATGCACTAGTGCCTTAGGCGAAGTAGGGTCTATGTGATACATGGCATTCAAAGTAAAGCCAAGTGTGGCATTAGCCCAGGTTGTACGCCAGTCTTTATTACGTCACGATTGACGTAATGTAGTACGGTCAAGGAGTCCACCTGTGTTACGGTGCCACTCCCCCCCCTCACCAGGCTCTAGGGATTAAAAAGCGCATGTTGCACATCAGAGCAGTATACAATTTTCACTCGTTGAAGTCCAATAGGCAAAGGTTGCGACTTCCTCTGAATTTAATTCATCTCTCCAACCTTTGATAACTGTGACCTGTTCTTCCAGACATGAGGTTGAGAGGTTGCAGGACTGTGTTGTCAAAAATATGTCCCCTTCACATGAGCCCTGCTGATGCATACAATGAATTGCACAATCTCCATGGTAATCTGTGACATGGTTTGTCAAAGTCGGTACTGTTTGGCCAGGAAGTCATTTTTTGCTATCTGCAATATTAGTAAAATGTACAAATGTATGTTATGTTTGTGCTATTTCAATCACTTCTTCTTTTTTCTTTCTCTTTTTAAGTTGAGTATCCCAAATTTAAGCTATTAAAATCTTGATTTTATTGAATCGGGAATCTCGACTGTACAAATGAGAGATAGGCCTTTAAAGTTTGACTTTAGTGGAAAAATAATACTTCATCAATGAAATATCAGTTTGACAAAGTCGTCACAAATTGCCCAGAATCTATTAATGAAAATCCCCCCCCTCATCATTTTTCAGCTGTTTCTCCATTCGTAGCGGTCCCCAATGACACCTGACATTTGACATACATGTATCTCGTCTCACTAGATACACAGGCAGAGTGACTGAGGTCATGTTATGTATGCTGGTTATTTTATAAAATGGAAATGTCACGGTGACAGTCCGAAAGTAGTGAAATATCCAAGACCTAATGTAACAACTTGATACTGAGGTACATTATATCAGTACAGATAGAAACACTTCAGCACTACCAGTATACAGTAACAAGAATTCCCCTAATTTTTTAGATATTAAAGTCGCCATTCCTTTGGGAAAAAAGGAGGTTTGGGTTGATTTTGCTTGTCATGTGTAGTATTTATTCTTTCGCAGAATCTATTTTTTTTGCAAAATTGTATGAATTGTTGAGTGACTACATGTACATGGAGTTGCTGTGCACTTGGTATTTGTTGGTAATTGAACACTGTTGACATATTTTTATTCTTAAAAGAATCATGTCAGAGACATTTTCGTTGTAAACATTCTAGCCTCTTAAATTTTGTTTTGCGTAAAATTATAATTTCTTAGACAGATTTGTCCCACAGTGTCTCTTTTAAAAATTTCGAAATGTTTGTAGTTTGCTTTCACAGCATCAGATCTCCAGAACGAACCTTAAAAATGGTGGTTTCTTAAGTATCATTTCACAAAAAGAAAGAATAAATTGAACTCACAACTCAGATTTGTTTTCATTGGTCAGTTCAATGATCAACCAATCAAAACATTCTCGAATGCTGTCTTTTCATAACAAAATTATTGTCTCTTTGATCAGTGGATTGATCAATTGATTTATAATGCCATTACCTGTGGACATGGTCTTGTGTTTTGAATTCTAGGATTACGTGGGTAAGCTTTGTGAACGGTGTCTTTTGAATTCTAGTGCATTTGTTGGGTGAGAATCGGAGATACTGCCACAAATCACTTCTCCCAACCCAGAAGTAATATCGATACCTGTGAGAGCTGAGACAACTGTTGTGTCTGAGTTAGCCACTTACAGCGAAGTAAGGAGCTGATGACATGTTGATCTAAGGAGTTTATGCATGATGAGCTGAGATGATTATAGCATACAGCACCATAATATTGCCACAAAAAGATGGAAGTACAGTGTAGTTCTATGCATTTGATTAACCACATTTACAAAAGGTTAACACAGATATTGTTTTACTGTCGTTGATAATTTGCCAGCAACAGAATAGCTCAAAATTCTAAATGCAACATACAAGTAATTGGCATTGAATTTTACCCCTCCCCCGTTTGTCAATTTAGAGATGCCTTTTTTTCTGGGTTTTTTTTCTTTCACCTTTGCTCTTGTATAACTTCAAAGATAGAAACTGTCCCAAAAATATGCACCAGCTTGGACATTTGGGTTCACCTACAGTTTTGGGTGCCCCTGTCCCCTTTTTATAACTGATAGATGCCCTCCCACCTCCATAACTACATGTATGTGAAAACTGTGCAGATGCCTAGCAGTGAAATAAATGTAAACTCCATGACAACATGCAGTGTGAAACCTCAGTTCCTGATACCAACATCTGGCAGGAGAGTTTTGCCCAATCAACCTTCATTTCTCCCATCAAATGACAGAGAGCAAAATATGCCCTGCTGTTCCAAGTTGTGTTGACCAGTCAATTAGTTTTTCCAATTTTGTCTCCAAATTTAGCCTTGAAGGACAATCTACCGTACTGTACAGTGCTTTACATATTTCTCTCTCTTCATTGTCGGTGTTCAATAATGCCTTTCAGAATGCCATTCTTTATACACCAAGTTGTTGTGCATGTCAATTTCTTCTTTGTTATAAAGATAATCACTGGCTTTGGGGCATGTGATTAGTAAGGGGTATTGCTCCATACCTGTGTACAAAAATTGTTCATTTCTATGGAGTGAATTTTTATGTGTAGCCTTTGACAGAAGTGGCAAGTTTCTTTTGCTGTCCAGTGTAGAACAAAATTAATCATTTTTTTCATTCCATTGTGTGTCAATTTTTAAATAATCATAATTAATTCTCAGGCATCATGTCCAGGTGAAATACTTCATTACATTGACTGAATGTGTGAATAATGGAAGGGTAATGAAGATTTTTTCAAACATGGAAACTAAACATTAGTTTCCAGGCAGCATTTTTCTCTCTTCTTCAAAATTCGAACAATTTTACAATACAAACAGGTCTGTGAAATGTTTTCAAATGAACTGTAATGAACAATGTAAGTCGTACACATTAGAATTAAAAACAGTTCCATCACTACTAATTTGGGACTCTTTTTGAGCATGCAAACACAATGTCGGAAATCATGAACTCGCTGATTGAAATAAACTTTTATTTAAAACACTTTCTTAAATGTCAACAAATTTTGGGGCGAAATCTTACACAGCTTGCACAAGTGCTAAACATGTTTGGGTGAAAACGTTATTGATTCTAGGGTCATTAATTTTATGCTCTGCTGGCTCTTATGGCATCATGAAGGTTAGGTTAGGCACTCCACCACGTCTACGTGTACATTTGATTCATTGCAGCTGCCCTCCCGCGGGAGCAAACCATGCATAGTTATGATGCCCGGGGGGGGGGGGAATGGGGATGTTTGGGAACTTCGACGCATTTTAATCGAATAAGAAAGGCAAGGATTTTTGTTCTCGACTGAGATGGAAATTAATGCGCCCATGTGAATGGAGTGACATGCAGGAGGGGGCATTTCTGGTAAGGTTTGCATCTTAATGCATCATTTCACCCTGCAGCTAGCCAAGAAATTGGATTACAATTCAGCTTTTTAAATCTAAAACAAGACTACCAATACAATCTTGCACAATGTAGTTATCTCTAGTCACCAAGCACATCCAAAAATTTTTTATTATGTCAAAAACTAAAAAATCACCACAATTTCTGGTCGGATAAAACAAACCATCAACTGAAATTACTGAATTTAAACTTAGGAATTGAAACTGGTGATCGTTGGAGTTGAACTGAATTTGTCTGGAGTATTTGTATTTCTTGTGATCTGCACAAATGTACGGCATGGCCATCATATACAGTACATATCCATGTCTATTACACGTAAGTGGGTGCTCAAATTCTAAAAATGACTGCCTTCAGCCATCTTTAATTCAAACTGCTTCTCTCCAAACAAACTAGATATAACACTTAAAATGTTATTACTTTGGCAGTATCCACAACAGGCCTTATTCATCTGTGAAAGTATATTCATTTCAGAAATTTAAAAGCCGACAGGAAACATTAAAAAAAATTTTGTCTCAAAAATACAGTTTTCCAAGAAAACCTCTTTATAATAAATGTGCCAAACCTTCTGCCCGACATTTCCTGTGAACTGCAAACAATTCCAATCGGGGCCACTGATGCTCTTTTTTTCTGCAGAAATTTACTTCCTTCAGTGCTCACCAAGAATAGTTTGAATTCAAATCAATGGAACAGTTCTTTTAGCAGAGCAGCCAATCTAAACGGCATATTAAAAGTGTATCTCGTGACGGCAAGTCTTTTTAGTCCTGTTTCTTCCCCATTTGTCATCTCTCACACACCACCCAATACACTTCAAAATAGAACTGTCAACTATTAAACAGGAATCTGCATGTCAGCTGCAAAAAAGGAGCTCCAATTTATACAAGACTTCTATTTTCTAAGGGGCTTCCATTGCAACTGAGACTGATCATACTCAGAATGTGAATGTTAGGCTATCCAGTGTGGACAAGATGTACAGTGATGGATCGAGATGGACACTAGACTATTTAATCACTTGTGTTTCATTACAATTAAACCTTCCACACTTTAAACCTGACCGCCAAGGCAACTTGGCTTCTTCACCTGTGTGCAGCATCATTCCAATTACTACATTTGTGCATTAGTACGCTTGGTAAATATAAACATTTCTATTTAACAAAACAATTTACATCAATAAAATAAATTGCGATCTCAGCAAATGCTTGCATATGTCAAAATGAGCAAGCGTGTCTAATGATCTAATGCAATGATCATATTTAATGTGTATCTACAAATGTTTAATGTTTCAACCAGCCACAGGGGTCAATCACTGATTTCACTTGTAAATTTCTGGCCGTAAAAGGACATCTATTGGCTGAAATTGAATATGAGATTTCTCAAGAATGCCTGTATGCATGTATAACACGCACGTTCACAGACTGGCCTACTGCTAAGATATACAGTCAAACCTTGTCAATAAGAGGTCTTTTGGACTTGGCAAATTTACCTTGTTATAACAGGAACCTTGTATTATCAGGAATGAAAAACAAAGGCTTGGGACCTAACACAAATCGTTATTAAGCAGACTCTTGTATTAACAGTGCTCTTATTAACAAGGTTGGACTGTATTGGAATAGTTTAGTTGATACAATGTTTGTATAACATTCTAGCTGAATCCTGGTCAACTTCTGTGTTTGACAAACATTGATTACATTTAAGTTCAGTGTCGGAATCAATGTCGGAAGCCAAAACACACACATCTATGGGAGACGGCTAAGGCCACTAGTCAATGGCTTTCATAGGAAAGTGTGGTTTTTCAGTCACAGCCAAATATATTTGGACATTTGACGAACCCACTGCAATGTTACAAACAGTCTTTGGTATCACTTCACAAACGGGAGACTATAAAAGTGAAAGGAGTGTGCTATTTGCTTTAAATTTGAGACACTGGTGAATATTCGACAGTATCAGCTTTTCCTAAGGATACCATATGCAAACATGTTGGGATTGAGTTAAAAACCTTCAGCCCAGTTCCTCATAACATTGTAGAATCTACCATCAACATTATAAAATTGCACTGCTTCACACAAATCTCCAGTAAACGAGCAATGATAGATGCAACCGTAACCTAACATGGATACAGTCATTTCCATTTTTTCAGCAACAGGGGCTAGCTGTGCACATGTCAAGCACATTCAAGGGTTGTATGGTGATGTCAGGAATGATGACAATGGACCCATT